TTAAAATAATGCTTTATTATAGTACAATTTAGACATAACTCATTGAACAATAGTTTTGTTTATAACAAGAGAACAATCTCCCCTCAAATCTGAATTGGTGACACATGGAACATTTTCCAAGATTGTGAGTCAAATCATTTCACGTTACAGTTCTATGTGGCTCTATAAGATTTCCCAGAACTATAACACAAAAAGATGAAATATAAAGATGAAATATTTGAGATGATGAATATGTTAGTTAATTTAATCATTCCAAATTATATGTAAAATACCATTTTGTACATATATAGGTACGTCATCTTGCATATATAAACCAAAATTTGTCAACAGATAATGAATGAATATTACTATGACATACAGACATAATTTCCCTTTTCAGTAATCCTTTCTTAATCTTATTTATCCAACATTGATTCTGCAAATACTTATTGTCTACTGTAATCAGAAGCTTATCTGTGTAGGAAAAAATCAAAATCACATTAATTGGCCTTATATTTTTGAGAATAGATGGATAATAATAGCAAGCAATTTAGCAGCAAATTGTATGCAAATTGATTGTGTGGACACCGTATAATGGCTGATATGTGAAAGGTATATTAGTTTGAAATCTGTATGGTACTTTGCACCAGTTAAGCAGAAGTGAAAAGAACATGACACAGAAATGGAAATCTTAGCACAAAAATCCCAAGGCAAAAGTCAGCTTACAGGAATGGAAATACAATATGTTTAGAAAATGGGCAGAAGAAATTGAGAAAAAAAGTAATAAGCAGAAGATAGATTATTTTTAAATAGATTTAAGAATTTGTAAACCAGTGAAGTGTCCTAAGCAGGTGAAGTGAAGATTGAGGTAATTTTAGGTAGTTTATTATAAGTCACTACGAAATTAGAAAGCTATTGCTGATGAGGATGGCATCGGAACTCAGCTAAGAGGCTTGGTTCAGGATACGTTTTGAAGTAAAATACTTAGGGTCCAGTTGTTGGATATTGTTTGGGAAAATAAAATTATATAAAATGGATAATAACACTGAGTCCATATCACAGTCCAATCATTCACTGATTGATTCTATTGTGTCTTGAAGTTGTCTTAACCCTGCTAATTTTGGTATATATTGATATGTATTAAGCAACATGCCCAGAATTCCTATCCAGGTTTTCTAATGACTGAAGAAGATCAGAAAAAAGAAAATAAACAATTTCAAAGAAACATCCAGATCAGCTTTGGGTAGTCAGAGATGCCAATACATCCCAAAGGAAGTCTTGGAGGGCAGTAGGATGATTCTCTGGACTAAAAATGTCCCCATGTACTTACCATGTATCAACACTGGAAATTACCTGTTGCCAACTTGTACACACACACACAAGTTATTCTAGGATCTATCTTTACTTAGATAAATATTCAAAAGCAATATGTAACCCACAGTTACTCAAAGTATATTCCTTAGCACACTAGTCCCATGAGGTATAATCAATATATTAGTGTGGCACACTGCACCCCCGTGTGTGTGTGTGTGTATGTGTGTATAGTATACATATACGTGTATATATATAGATTTTGAGTACCTCCAAAGTAACTTTGTGCTACATACACATTCATATGTATCAAATTATAAGATAAAGCAAAAACTTTTTAAACATTTACTTCTCTTTGGATTTAATATACATAATATATGTATATAAATATTATCTATATAGAGAGGATATTGTGTGTGTGTGGTGAGCGTGTGTGTGTGTGTAATCTAAGATGTTATATTTGCATTTACAATGTAGAATTTCCTCAGAAAAGCTGATATTATGCCCAAAATTAGACAATTTATCATTATGTTCTAGGGTAGTAAATTATAATATCCATTTACCTTCCATGGATAATAGATCTCTGGGATACCATGCTACTGGTAACTAATTCCACTTTTCTCAAAAATAGAAAGTTTGTTTTCTAGGTGTTACCTTATATAGACAGATATTTAAACCACCAAAAGTGAAAAGTGTTCACTCTGTGAATCATTACTGAAGATATTAGACCTCTGTCAGATGCTGAACAAATAATAGTTATGAAAATCAGGATGGAAAGACAACTGAGTCATCACTATTAGGTCCAGATCTAAGACACGATGCGAAAAAATCAAGGTGAGAAAGAAAACTTCAGGCCATAACACTTATGACAAAGCACATTACGAGTTGTTACTAAAACTTTCAGTCACTTCAATTTTTCTAGAAGGTTTTCATTTGTTTTGTTTTGTTTTTGGTAAGTGCTACACACAGCGCAAATATAAAAGTATATTTCCATTCAGCGATTTGCTTTTGTGGATGGCAATTTAACTATGACCTTGGCAGTGGAGTGAAGAACAATTTCATGATTTGACTTTTGATTGAATTTTAGGCGTACCTGAAAAGTTTTATAGATTCAAGGTCAATGGGCATTGACTACCTGCTAGTCTGCAATCTTGGTGACCAAGATATTTGTATGAATTTTATTCCATTTGTCTTGAAAATAATGATAAAATCTACTTTGGTGGATTTTAATGAGAGAAGGCAAATAAAAGACTTTTAGAACTACAAAGTGTACTCCTTTGTGGAGTACAGAAGTTGTGTACAGAAGCTATTTTATGATCATAACGGGCTAAGTAATTAGAGGAATCAGCCTTTGATAGGAGAAATATGAAAAATATTGAATGCAGTTTCAGATTGTGTGAATTCTGACACTGTCACTTCTTAGACTGAAGATCTTTTGGACTCATTTTTTCGAGTATCTTTGAAGTGACTTGGCTTATTGGAGTTAAAGAAAACACTTTAACAAATATTTACATGTGTCTTTATATATATTAATGATAAGCCTTTCCCCAGTACTTTGTCCCTGTGAGCACACGTTTCACAAGCTTGGTCCCAAGTGTGGTGACATGAGATGTGGAATCTTATGGTAGGTGGTAAGGTTATCGAGACTCCTGCCCATGGGAGAGGTTAAAGGGACCCTGCTTAGCTTTCCTAGAGATTGTTATAAAGAACAAGTACTAGGCCCTTCCCTGTCCCCTGATACAAAGGGCTCCCAAATGCTGTGCCCAAAAGTGGCTGCCAAACACATGGAAGTAAACAGTGCACTGGCCCAGATGCTTCTTGGGTCAGTTTGACCTTGCAATGCAGTTTGCATCCTTGAAATTGACAGTCTGTAGGAGAAGGAAGAGTGTGAGGGAGTGAAGATGACATTGCCTCCTATTAGCTCACCCTTTCAACATTAAACAGAGACCAAGAGAGAAATGGTTCCAACATTTCACCACATATATTTCTTCTTATGCAGTCTAAGCTGAGAATGCCATGTAAATGGGTCACTGCGAAATGCAGCAATTTAATTTTTCTCCAATCAAAAAAAGAAACAAACCAGTATGATCTCACTTCTATTAACTTTTGAAGGTTTACAGCAGTTAAAGTATTTTTGCTTCTATGTATGAAGGTTAAAAAATATTTTTTTCATAAAATACAAGAGCAACCAATTTCACCATCGAGTAAAAGTAAAAATTGGGATTCTTTTTTAAATTAGTCCAAAGTGGCATTTAGGAACTTAGTTGTAGGCTGCTGCGCTGACAAACCAAAGTGTAGGGTTGGGCCTGGTTTTATTTCGGTTTTCTTTTCGATATCCAATGCTCATGGATTGAGTTTTGGAAATGTTCCAATTGTAAGGCAGGGATCTGTTTGGATTCCACCACGGGTATGCTCCTTGGGTTGGAAGCTGGAGGGCGAGGCACGTTTTGCCGGACCTATGTCGACTACCTAGTAGTCATCAAGGTCAAAAAATTCATCATCTCTTCCTTGATATTCCATTCCCTGGAAATCTGCTTGGTACTGCAAGATACCTCCAATTCCACCAAATCCTTCCACAAACTGGGATCCTTCTTGTGACTTATCTGTGACAATTTCCAATGTAGCTCCAAAATTTTTTATAGTTGTTAGCAAACCATTCCAACAGGGGCATGCTCTTGATCAGCTCATGTTCCTGTCCTCTTTGTGAAATGAGGTTTATCCTTCTCTTGTTCTGGAGTTAGGTAAAGAATTTTCTCCTCTTCTGTGCCTTGGCAATGAAGAGCATATCTCATTATATCCAAATTTTCATAGACTATTAGAATTTCTACGGCTCCCATTTCCAAAGCTTTTAGCATATCTTCAACTCCAAAACAGTACTTGCCCAGTCTTGACTGATTTCATCAAAGTATCGTCCTATTAATTTCTTCTCTTGAATGAATTGCACGTTGGAGAGGACCTCAGTAGATAACTCAATAGCTTGGTTGAATCCATTTTCACCACCATAGGATATATCAACTAATTTTAAAACTTTTGATTGCAACCTCCGATCAAACATATCAGATTGACTTAGTTCAGATTTAAAGTCGGCTGATGCAGCTAAAACGAGACCAGCTACATTCACTTTGTCCCCAGAAATAAACAGCTGTACAGCAGTCTTTGCTACTTTCCGAACATAGTTGTGTCGCTTTTCCATTCTTAAACGGGCAAAACGCAAGGCTGACTCACCTCCTCTACCGTGTTTCTTTGGGAGATCCACAGTGAATTTGTGCAGGACTTCTCTTGTATTTCCCTGCAGTGTGCCAAAAAGTGCACCACTACCATCTATGACAATGAAGCCAAACTTGCTATCATCTGAAAGTAGTGCTGTAAGAACCTCCGTATGGAATTTGTTGTCACACAAATACAATGACGTATTAATTGGTTTGAAAGGTTCAAAGTCATTGTTGACTTTCTTTTCCTTTCCTTTTTCTGTTACAATTGTTCCACAGTAAACAACCAGACCATTTGGAGGTGCTTTGCTATAAAGTTTGAGTCTTTGTTGTACAGATGTAATGGCTCCCAGGACTGAAAGGCGGTTTACTCGTGACTTAATGTTGGATGCAGTTCCAAATTCATCTGCTAACATTTTTGCCACTTGGGAAATCTGGTCTTTGGGAGGAATGATCATTTTTTTTTTTTTTAGAAGAATAAAATTTATTGTTCGTGCGGGGCTACTTGTAGGCGTTGGTCTTGTGCTTCGGGAGGAAGACGAAGTTGGGCGGCACCGGCCTCAGGAGCATCTCGGTGATGCGGGTCCAGTTGGCCGCCCACTGGCCGGCCATGAGCGTCTCCAGGTGGTCCCGGCCCAGGTAGTAGGGCGGCCACTCGTTGATCCTCTGTGGGAGTCGCTCCAGCAGCCCCACGGGCACAGGAACTACAGCACTCGAGCAGGAAGCGGCGCGTCTTCTCCACGCCCTGCGTGTCCGAGGCCCAGTGCTCCAGGCCGTAGCGGGTGAAGTCGCGCAGGACGTCCAGGCGCTCGGAGGCCGAGATGTCCCAGTGCCGTTGCTCCCTGATCTCCGTGAACAGCCAGGGCTTCAGCAGGGCGCCGCGGGCCACCATGACGCCGGCCACCCCGGTCTGCACGGCGCGGTTGGCGTCCTAGTTGCAGAAAGAACAGCGGCATGGGACTGGCGGCCCTGGCGCACTGCGCGATGTAGTCCCAGTCGGCCAGCCGGCTGTAGCGCTGCTCCCGCGAGCGGCCGTGGAGCGTGACGAGCGCCGCGCCCCAGGCCCGCAGCTCGGGCAGCGGGCGGTGCACCAGGTTCACGCGCTCCTGGACGCCCGTGCGGATCTTCGCGGTCACCGGCACGTCCAGCACCTGGTCCATGCCCCGCAGGATCTGCTGGAACTTGGCCGTGCGGCTCATGAGCGCGCAGCCGCCGCCCTTCTTGTACACGAGGTCGATGGGGCAGCCGTCGTTGATGTCCACGAAGTCCACTTCGAGCGTGCGGTTCAGCAGCTCGGCGCACTTGGTCATGGTGTCTGGGAACGCTCCCTCGAGCTGGACCCCGAAGACGTCCTCGCACTCGTGGCGTTTCAGCAGCGCCCACTCGGCCGTCTGGCCCTGCAGGAGGTTGGTGCACATGGCCATCGGCCATCTCCCCGCACGACACGTCGGCCCCCAAGCGCTTGCAGATCCGCCGAAAGGGTAGGTTCTCGCACGTGGTGAGGGGCGCCAGGTACAGCTTGCCGCGGATGTCCAGCCGCTTCTTCTCACAGGGCCGCAGCCTGACCACGTCCTCGTCCATCAGCGGCCCGCAGGTCCGCACCGGGCTGCCCAGGCCCGCCAGGGTCCTGCACGGGGGACACGGGGGCGGATCATCATCCTGTGATCTCTGCTTCCCACTTGGGTCATCCACGATAAAATGGTACAGAAAGAGGGGCCTCCCCAGAGCTGTGGCCATGCTGTCTGTGTTTTCAGCCACCAAAACCAGAAGATAAACAAATCTCTTTTTTAAAAGGTTATTATTGTGGGCCAGCGCCCCGGCTTACTAGGCTAATCCTCCTCCTGTGGTGCCGGCACCCCAGGTTGTAGTCCCGGTTAGGGCGTCGGATTCTGTCCCGGTTGCCCCTCTTCCAGGCCAGCTCTCTGCTGTGGCCAGGGAGTGCAGTGGAGGATGGCCCAAGTGCTTGGGCCCTGCACCCACATGGGAGACCAGGAGAAGCACCTGGCTCCTGGCTTCGGATCAGTGCAGCGCACCGGCCACAACGCGCTGGCTGTAGCGGCCGCTTGGGGGGTGAACCAATGGAAAAAGAAAGATCTTTCTCTCTCTCTCTCTCTCTCTCTCTCTCTCTCTCTCTCTCTCACTGTCTAACTCTGCCTGGCAAAAAAAAAAAATTAAAAAAGGTTATTATTGCATCTTAGATATTTCATTATGGAAACAGATAACAACTTGTTAATATAAATAAATTAAAAGTAGTTCTGCTCTCAAGCTAAGTATGAGAAAGAAGAGTGGACTTGTTTGAAAATTTTTCAGTTTCATTGGTGGGCTTCATAGAAGGCAACCGGATTCTCATTTCTGATTCTGTATTCAACCTCACTTGACATCTTGCTTCAGCAGAAGCATTTGAAGAAAATCTGCTCTAACACAGATATGCACCTTAAAAAGGTAGGATTTCACAAACTCCACAGTTCATGGGAACCTCCAGAGTTCTCTCATCACACTTAAAGAACTACTGACATAAAAAAAGTAAAATGGAAAGGCTTAATGATGGTGTGGTTACACTGCTCTTTCTATTTTTAGGTAGAAGGAGAGGCATGAAGACTTTGGTATTTGACTGATAGAAATAATTTCCCTGCAACTTTACCTTTTTGTTACTCTCAGGGAGTAGCTCATTGATTCTAAGGAAAAAGACAGTTTTCAGTGTGGGAAAAGAGCTGTACCTAGCTGAGTGAACTCAGACATGGGGTTAGTTAGCTATACATACTCTTAGGAAAATCTTTTGAAAAGTCTAGGAGGCATTGCTAAATAAAAAGTCCCAAGTTTGCTATACTTCAGTTTGGACCAAAGCATCACTCTTCACTGGTTTAATTCTTGTTTGTCCCCCTCCCCCCGCCCCCAGTGAATTGGGAATGGAGATATCCCATCATCCCCTTTGCTAAGGGAGGTGTTTTACTTTAGGGACTATTGCTTATCACTGAGGGATGGGTCTTAATGGCCTTGATATGCAGTATAAATTAATGATTGGCCTATTGCTTGTATAAGGAACAGGTGGGAGACACCTTATTCTTTGGTAAAAGGAGGCCTGGTTAGGCTTGATTTGGATATTGTAAATGTCAGAGGGTGATGTGGTCCAGAATTTCACCTGTTCACCTACAGCATATCCTCACAAATAATCTGGAAAGGAGCTATTATCACTATTTTATGATTTTACTAAGAGAATTGAGAGCCTCAGAGGTCAATGTCTTCCTTGAAATGTCAAATCTGGTAAGTGACCAAACTTGAAATTGTTGGCACATTGTTTTGGTTGTAAAACCAATGCTTTCTCCAAGGTTAATATACCAAAATGAAATTACATCAGCCAATGAAAGTTATCTGTACCCCCATGTTTACAGCTGCTCAATTCACCATGGCTAGGATATGGAATCAACCCAGACGTCCTTCAGCTGATGACTGGAAAAAGAAAATGTGGGACATATACATGATGGAATACTTCTTAGTCATAAAACAGAATGAAATCCTGTCTTTTGCATCAAAATGGATGTAACTGGAGACCATTATGCTTGGTGAAATAAGCTAGACCCCAAAAGAGAAATTTCATAGGTTTTCTCTGATTGGCTGTAGCTAATATACAGAGTACAAAAACAAAAACAAAACAAAAAAATGTGTATCTAACTAAACTGACTTTTTGCGACTTGATTATTGTCCACAAACCCTGTTTATGCCCTGTGGAACAGTAATCTTACTACTGTTCACTTGTACAGCTCTTTGTTTAGAGGAGTGTTGAGCCTGTTACTATAAAGTAAATTGAAAGTGTGTTATTTTATAAAATCAAGACAAAAAAAGGAAAGAAAGGAGGAGGAGGAGGAAGGGAGACAGAAAAGTATCATGTTCTTGGAATCCTATCTATGAAATTCATGAAATCTGCTCTCCCTGTATTAATAAATTAAAAAGTAACAATCAGAAAAATTTTTAAAAAGATATTTTAGAGCAAATTATTTCTGAGTTTTTAAGATTCTACTGAGGTGGGAGAGGGGAATGCTGGGTCTTAGTGAATTCTGGTGCCTAAAATACAAGTCCCTTTGTGAGAGCCATCATAGAAGTTTCCGAAGGAAGAGTAGCGACACCTTCAGAAGGAAGGCTGGGTAAAGTATTCAAGATTTCAGGATCAGAAACAAGGCTGATTGTAGGTTCAGCATTTCACTTTATGCTCCATTTGGGTACCATAATTATGCAAAAATGAAAAGCTCAGTATGCATAAATGATGTCAGTGACAAACTTGGTTGATTCATTGATACATCAGCGGTACTCTGGGAGAAAGACTGATTACTTTGAGTTAAAGGTGAATCTGCCCCTTGAAATGCTAAGAAAAGTGAATAAAGCAGTTTGCCTGAGATTGGGGACTGATCTGGTTGATTAAGATCTGGTTGATTAGGGTCCTGTGTAGGTTAAACCTAACCCTTATTTGCATTCTTACCATAAATGTCTCTTGTGGAAACTTGCTTTGGTCTTGTTAGGAAAAAATCAAGAAAGGCTTGAGTAAAAGATGACTATTTTTCTTAAAATATATAGGTGCAGACTCTGATGAGGCAACAACAAAGACACCTTCTCCAGGTTTAAGGCCAAATTCAAGGGCTCACTGAGCTATGCAGGAGTCTTCTAACTCGTGACACTGATGGTTTTTTTTTTTTTATCTTTGAAAAAACTGTATGCTTTAACAATGTACATGTATTAAGGTATCCTGTAAGCATATCACATTTTAACTTTATGGTGATTCAGATCTATCAGTTTTTATTATCATCCACCTTTCTAGACATAGAACAGGTTATTTGAAACAGAAGCACAAAAATTACACATACACACACACTCTGCACACACATGTAGAGACTTGAAAAGCAAACTCTTAATAGCACTGCAGAAAACCTGAAAAGCTACTCTGCCTTGTGCTACTGATAACTGACGGACTCATGTCAGCTGCCTCTGCACCAATAGCACAGTATTAACAGTAATCTCCTAGGCCGGCGCCGCGGCTCACTAGGCTAATCCTCCGCCTAGCGGCGCCGGCACACCGGGTTCTAGTCCCGGTCGGGGCGCCGGATTCTGTCCCGGTTGCCCCTCTTCCAGGCCAGCCCTCTGCTGTGGCCAGGGAGTGCAGTGGAGGATGGCCCAGGTGCTTGGGCCCTGCACCCCATGGGAGACCAGGAAAAGCACCTGGCTCCTGGCTCCTGCCATCGGATCAGCGCGGTGCGCCGGCCGCAGCGCGCCGGCCGCGGCGGCCATTGGAGGGTGAGCCAACGGCAAAGGAAGACCTTTCTCTCTGTCTCTCTCTCTCACTGTCCACTCTGCCTGTCAAAAAAAAAAAATAAATAAATAAAAAATAAATAAATAAATAAACAGTAATCTCCTAGAGGCTTTTAAATGAGGTAACCCAAGTCTTGAGAGGAATCGTGTAGATAGAATTTTCTTTCTCTCTTTAGCAGGGAGATAATCATGTGGTATTCTCCAAAACAAGATTCAACTATTTAACAGTGATGTTCTCCACTTCCCAAAGGAAATTCTAGATATCATCCCTCCCTCCCTCCTTTTACTCCTTCCTTCCTTCCTTCCTTCCTTCCTTCCTTCCTTCCTTCCCCCCCTCACTCCCTTCCTCCCCATTGCTTTCCCCATTGCATTTGCATTTTTCCCTAATAAGATTACAAAAACGGGAGTTTCTGCACTAAGACTAAAAGTGTGAGTAGAGATGCTTGATACTCTACACTCCTTGCAAGTCCCTAATTCCTTAACGAGCACTAGCATGAGAACATTAAGGTGTTGAGCAGGAAATTGGTAAAACAAAGGTGAAATAAATATTTGGAGAAAATAATTACATGGACAGAATCACTAAATGAACTCTTATGGAACTGAATAGTGAACAGCTTTCCTTGAATTGTGTTTCTTTCATTATTTGATAAAATTAACATTTTAAAAATGTTTTCTGGAACTCATGAAATTTTTTTATTTCTGAACTGTTTCCTATGTTTTGCTAATGAATATGCCTTAAATTATAAATACATATTTAACTTAATTTGGAATAGGTAACAAATGCTTACTTTCCTCATGTGTCAAATCACAAAGTGTATGTACATTATACTAAAAAATTTCCTTTCCGTAAATCATAAAGATCTAGAGTAGAGATGAATTAAGAAAAAAACACAAGTAGTGAACGTTATTCATTTTAAATCTTGATTCCAAGTATTTTCAATAGGATTACCAACTATGGTGATAATATGTTCATATGGCATGTATGTGGTTTTAAGTTTTTTGATATATTGATAATAGTACTATGGTAGAAGGAGGATCAAGTTTCCTGTAATAATTGTGATTCTTATTTAAAGTGTTTTGTTCTCTGTTTTGGTTTTATTCAGTGTATTACCTACCCTAAGCTAATTACAGATAAAGCCCTGCAGCTTTAAGTCTCTACTATAGAAATTCTGAGAAGATGCTGGCACTGAGGCACAGTGGGTAAAGCTGTCACCTGCAGTGCCAGCCTTCCATATGGGTGCCAGTTCATCCTGGCTGTTCCACTTCTGATCCAGCTCCCTGCTAATGCCTTGGGAAAAGCAGTAGAAGAAGATCCAAATGTTTGGGTCCCTGCCACCCACATGGGAATCTTAGATGAAACTCCTGGCTCCTAACTTCAGCCTGGCCCGACTCTGGGCATTGCAGCCATCTGTGGAGTGAACCAGCAGATGGGAAGTCTCTCT